ACATTTCATTTTCATTGATCTAAATTGAGATAAAGTAATGTACATAAGTATCATTGCATGATATACACATGCTTTCAGTGTAGCAATTTCAAATTTTCAATTGATATTGGGACAGCATTATTAATATATTACCTCTTGCTTTCCCTTTGATTTTATTTTTGGTTCATCATGTACCAATGGATCTCCTGTACAACATTATGTACTGTAATAATCATGAACTCAAATATTAGAATACCTTTCTTTTTTTCAATGGAGATGTCATAATAAGGATTGGTGATACTAGTCACTGAGGAATCAACAATCGTGTCGCTATGAATTCCATTTGTTACTGGCGCTTCTAGTTCATAATACAACTGTTCACCTGCAAATAAATATTATTCCCAAAAAATTATCACTTACAAGAATCTGATAAACTAAACAACATAATGAAAATAAACATTTTGCAAGAGTTAATTTCATAGTCCCCACACACAAACATGCATCAATTGTACACGGTAAATGTCTAGACTTAGTTGCTACTTGCTACAATAAACAGTACATAAATTATGTTATACCTTGTGAGGTTTGTATTTGATAGTTTGGATTGCTATGTCCAACTTCTTCCTCTTCTTTTGGGGTAATGTTGTTTAAGGAGTAAACAGGATTTGAATGAGAATCACTAATCCCGTCTCCTGGTATTTCTAATATTAATTGTTTTCGTCTCCTGCAGACTAATACACTAACAATTAGTATTACTAGTATGCCGACTGCTAATAATATAAATACTGTACTAATAACGCTTAATAGTATCGTAAATGTATGGTCTTTAGTCCCATTCCCTTGTACAGTGGGAGTTAGTGTATTTGTTGAAGTTCTAATAATTGTAATTGTGGGGAGTGGTGCTGAATTATTTGATGAAGAATGTACCATAGTAGTACTTACTAGTGCTTCTGTTGTCTGAAGCAGCACAGATGTTATGAGACTAGTATGTACTATTGAGACAGTGGGTTTTTTCTTGTGGGTAGTAGTAATAGATTTAGTACTAGTAGTAATGCTTGATGAAGGAAGATTAGATCTTGGAGGAATAGATGAAGGATTTGGTATAGTAGTTGTTGCAGAAATATGTACAGCACTTGTTGGAGGAAGAATAGGTTCAGTAGATGTAGAAGAGCTAGGAATATTTGTTGGAGTAAAATTTGATGTAGGAATAGTTGTTGGGGTAATAGGTACATTAGTGACTGGTGTTTGAATGATGCGTGTTGACAAACTGCTTGACAGTGTGTGGTATGCTGTCTGAGTTGTTGTCGTGGTGATGATGATCATAGTTGATTTAGGAATGACTTCAGATGTACTTTTGCTGTAAGAGGAAGTTATCATGAACATATCAGAAGTCATCAAAGGTATAGTTGACCCTATCAGTAATGAAGCATGAACTAGAAATTATAATAAAGTATTATCACTTACTTATTACAGCAGAGATGAGTGGATAATCATTAGAATCCATCCTTGTTAGTACACTGTTAGGTCCCAGTCTGTAGTTAAAAGGTCCATTGTGTTGTTGATAGAGCATATCAGTGCCAGTACTATTGATCATTAATACATCACCAGGTTGCACTCTGACCTCATCAGTCACAGTGATGTTATACACGTTGGAGTCTATTGCTGATGGAATAGTGTCTGTGTCTATTGATACTGCATTGGTTGTAGTATTATCAGAATGTCTTATCATTATCAATGGATGAGTATTAGTTGTAGCACCAATTATCCATTTTGTAATGATACCGTGACATGTGAACTTTATACTAGGGAACAC